GCACTTTGAATTGGTCTTGCTATCTCTCAGTTTACAAAAGTATTTCATACAAAGACAAACAGCGTGGAAGACTCAAGGCACACTCTCTTCAGGACAACATTTTTCTTGTGATTAGTGGACCTTTTAAGGGAGTAGGAAATTTGAATGTAAATGGTATGGGCAAAGGAGGGACCAGAGCCTTTGTTTTTTCATTCCTAGAATTATTATTTGCACCTGCAAGTTACTGGGTAATAGAGGGATGATCTAGATACTCCACCCTCCAGCAGATCTATAGATACTGCTCTGGAAATGTTTTCCAGATTTAGCTATTTGGTGTCTTTGGATTAAATCTGCACTTCTGACAATCAAAAGCGCACATCCCAAAATTTGCTACGACACCCAGTTGCAAGATGGGGCGTGCAACTAAATGAGTTGGATGTCAGCGAGGGCCTACTCTCCTGAAGATGTCAGATGAAGTTCCTTGTGCAAGCCTTTCTCTCTGGCACCTCTGAAAGTGGTACACCTAACTCCTTATTCCCTTAAGCAAAATGGCCTAATTGTCCCAGCCACATCCTACATTTTTTCCCTATTCCCAGGGTTGCTCCCACATTTTACCTAGAAGTCTTTATGTCAGAAGTGATGAATCCTTTTTAAAGTAGCACAGTCTTCCAGCTTTTGTATTTTTCAGGAAAAAAAAACCCAAACAAATGAGGCATTCTATTTCTTATGGTAAGTAGCATAAATGCACCAAAACAACGGTATGGATACCCCTGTATTAATTGTTTAGGGAGCTGTCATTGGAAGTTGGGGACTGGGAAGTCACAAAAGGCTCATTTGCCTTCTGATCGTCCTTCATGGAGGCTGCTTGGTCTGAGATGGAAGAGAAGGAGAGCTGGTCATGTTCCATTATATGCACTTGGTCCTCTTCCTTGTCCTTCTTCACATAAAACAACTTCCTAAACTTTTTGAGCTCATGCAGTTCACAGAAAGTCTCAAGAACCACCAACATTGCAATAAGGCCCAGCAACAGATAACCTGGGTAGAGAAGACAAAAAAAAGTCTTTTAATTATTAGCAAATTAAGTGGGGTTGGAACAGTTTTAGCCATGTAACTCTTCCCATTCCTGCCACCTCTGACTAGTACGTCAATTTTCTTTATGACCCAGTTTCAGAGCTCTGCAACCCACTTTGGACTGTCAAATCCTTTTTTCCTTTTTCATTCTACAATCAACAAGACCCCACATAATCAAAAAAAGTAACACTAGTGGCTTTAATTCTGTCACAACTGTACAATAGAAAAATACGTAAAGCCATTAAATGAAACAGAATACTAAAATTCACCACATGCACGCTCCCCCACTTACTTACGATCTTCATGATTTAAGTGCTCTTCAGAAGATTCCCCCCCCCCCTCCCCTTATAATATTCCTACATGTTACAAATAGAAGTAAACCGATGACTTTGGTGGTGTACTGACTCTGAATTTTAAAGGTAATATTCAGCTCTCAGACTGAGACTTTTGGAAATTGAGCTTCATATGATTAACAGCCTGCTGTGCTCTTCTGCCCCCCCGCCCTCTCCAAACATATGCATCTAGAATTTGAGGGAAGGTGTTAAAATGAGCATTTCTTAATCTCAATGTTTCATTAGATCCCTGCTACTGATCATTACAATTTAATGAGGAGCATGACTACCTGAATATCATTTCAATAAGTAAATCAAGCAGAAGCTAAGTGTATAATGATTAGTACAACATGCTCATCCAAAGGCTGAAAATTAAATGTGCTGAAAGATCAACAGATTAATTATTATAATCTACATATGGTCACTGTTCTGTTACCTAAAGGCATAAATATTTCACCTGTAGTTACAGATTATTCCCTGGCAATAACACTCTCCTTCTCCTTCCAGGAGCACCATTAAATCAATATTGCAATATCAGGCACTGATCTAAATCAGCATAACAGCTAAAATTTATGAATTGTTTTTAAGCTTTATCTCATGACATCAGACAGGAGCTATGCATTAACACAAGGAAGAAGTGACAAAGCTATGCCAGTTAAAAGGCATCTATAAATCTGCACTGAGAATTTTGTAATTATCTCTGAAACTCAGTCCAGCTGATCACCACTTGATTTAGAACAGGATTTGTGTTCCCCTAAAAATTCTTGAAAAGCCTGTAGCACTCATTAAGCATTTTCTGATGTAGAACTCCAAAACTTTTCTTGAAGAAAATTTAGGTCCAGCAAGAGAAAACATTTTGTACATCCTGTTTGGTTCCTTGAACTGTTCACATGAAAGCAAAAAGAGTAATTTAAAAGTTATTACTTTAAAAACTGTTGAAATGAAATATTCTGAGGTCTTAACTTTGCCTAAAAACTACTTTTTCCTTTTAGTATTTCCTGCAATTTATTTCCTAAGTGTTCTAAAGTTTGAAACAGGATGATCTGAGACTTAACATTTTCTTCTGATTTTGAGTTTTCAGAATGGCTCGCATTTTTACAAGGCCTTTACTATGTGTGACTTTCTCCATTCATTTCATCACTTAGCACTCCCAAATCAACTCTGCAGATCAGCAGGGTAATAATTAAAAGCTACTGCTGGTAAGATAAACATGATGGGTAAAGGGGGAAATCTGCAATGACAACAGGCCTGGCAGGAGAATAAAATGAAGTGTTCTGTTGGCTAGTTCAAGGCCCGGCTTCAAGGAATGAAAATCCAAGGCCCAATCTCTCTTTAAGTAAAACACAAAACCAAGTTAATGGACACTTTGCCTACATTAAGATTGCTGGATCACGCACAGGAGCGCACACCAGCCTAAGGAATGGACCTGATGGTTTGTTTTGGCCGTTCAGATCATTTAACGGGTGCATCTGACACCCAGACTGTGCAGACTGAAGCTGTATCAGAAACTGGGATGCTTCAAAACCCTGTCACTGGAGAACATTGCCCTCAGCATACATTCGTTCATAATGCCAACCCAAAGATAATTTTCTTAGCTCTGCTTTGATCAAATCGCCAATCACTGTGCCTCTCTGTGTCAAACATAATTAAACAATTTAAATTTAACATTTGTGGTCTCGCTTTGCTATCATCTCAGTCTACTTGTCTCTCTTTGACAGCTGCTATGTACCAGTGCCAGCTTCAGCCACCTTCTGTTACAACTGGAATCAAAAACTTTGCTATTGTGCCTCATTTCCCGTTGCTCCTCGATTCGTCTCTGTTCACATGTCATCTCAGCTTGTGAGATGACCTTAGGTCACAAGGATCATCTTCCTGACTCTGATGCACTGAAATCTTAGCCCAAGACGCTTATAACCATTTTCATTACAGTAATATGAGCTTTTTTCCTAGTATTAATAAGACAGTAAGTAGCTATGGTTTAGCACAATGGAATTCTGGTTTTAGCTTTTTCTTTCTTAACTACAGAAAACTGACCTTATTTAAAGGTTTCTTCTTTGCACAGCTACCTACAACGCCCAGTTTGCTAGCTGACAGCTCACAAAACAACCACCATCCACAGAACGGAGATGGAAAGTCTGATTTATATATATACTTTTTTTTTTTTAATAAAATGCCTTTTATTTAGCTGGTTAGTTTGACACTTACATGTAATTCCAATTTTATACAGCTCTCGAAATTTTTGATTGTAGCCCTCTCCTGGCACGTAGTCTCCGAGGCCAATGGTGCTCAGGGAAATGAAACAAAAGTAAAAAGATTCCAAAAAATTCCAGTCATCTTCCAGAACAGAAAATATTGCTGCTGGGATTAAGAAGAAGCACGACACAGTGATGAACCCAAGGACTATAGCGTGGATGATTGCAACAACCTGCTTGGAGAAGCCCCAGCGAATGTGGAAATACAGTACAGGCCGCCTGGTGACATACACAATGATGCGCTGTACTACTGCTGTCAGGAAAAGCAGTGTAAAGGGGATCCCGATGACTGAGTAGATGATGCAGAAGGCCTTTCCTCCATCAGATAAAGGCACTGTGTGTCCATAACCTGGAACAAAGCAGAGGAGGCATAGGTTAAGTTAAAGCTGGGAGCTCACATACCAATTTGATATTGGCTATACTGTCTGAGAAAAAAAAAACCAAACCCAAAACACTTCAGAATTGCTAATTCTGAATTCTGCTATTTTTGACAAATGCTGTTCAAAGGTCTGTTTTAAACAGGCAAACAAAGCCTAAGTATTAGCAATAGGCAAGTAAAAATAAAAATATATTTTTGCATTTCAAAATTGTGAAAGTAGTTGTATAAATGGTTATTTTGGAGAAGGAAGTAATGCCAAGTCAGGAGTGGGAACCTATGCCAGGGAATCTGTGTTTTATTCTGG